GGGGTGCCGGGCACCGTGTCCCATCGTCTCACAGGAGCCCCGAGGCCAGAGCCAGACCGTTGCTGGACACCAGTTCTGGGGCTTCCCTCCCTCTGTCTTGCCACCGCCAAGGATGCTGAGCGCCCCGGTGCTGGGTGGGAGTCTGGCTTGGGCCACCCAGGGGCGAGACCCCAACCCCCCTTTCAGTGCGTTCCCCCTCTCTCTGCCCCAGCCACCCTCACCCTTTCAGGTAAGAAGAGGCTTAAAGCATTCATGCCCCCAGGATCTTAAGGCCAATGGCAGAGATTAGTGGGAAGATGGTGCCAGCCAGGGGCGCCGTCTTTGGCTCGTGCACGGCCCAGAACCCTAGACGCTGGTCCTTCTAACAGTGCAGGATCCGGGCGCAGTACTGTCTGGGATAGTTTCTTTAGGTCCTGTCCCCGAACTTCAGAATGATACAATGAAGAGTCAAAACATGCAGGAAAAGTGAGACTGGTGTGGCCGCGGTGCGGGGGAGGACACAGCAAGGACCCACACAGCCCTTGTCTGGGGACCCAGAGAGGGACAGAAGGGGTGCTGGGAGCAGGGGTGGGTGTGGGGGACTTTCCTGGCCTCGTGGCCGCCCTGGGCACAGCAGGCCGGGGCAGGGGGGGCGCCACCAGCGGAGGAGCGGGCCAGAGGCAGAGCCTGAGCCAGCGCCCCAGGGTGGCTCCGCGGCTGGCCCAGGAGGTGTGGGCTGGGTGTCCCAGGCGAGCCTGCAGGAGGGGCCGCGAGGGCCAGCCCAGGGCGGGGATCAGGGAGCAGGACCAGAAAGGACGCGGGCTGGGCCGATGGAGGAAGCTGGTGGCCCTAAGGAGGGGCCGCCCCGGCCAGAGGCAGAGTCCAGCCCCCCTTAGCTGAAGGGCCCGGGGCGCTGGGGCGAGGGGCTGGTAGCAGGAGTCCAGGTGGCCTGGAAAGCACCTTCCTAGGCTGAAGGCCCCACTTTGGGGATTTCCCCCTGTGCCCCCGGCCTTCCCCCAGCCTGCCCCTGGGAGCAAGGCGAGAGAGGCTTCTTGCTGCCTCTTGCTGCCGCACCTGCTGCCCCAGAGCCGCAGCCTGTCGGGACCAGGAGGGTGCAGGGCGCAGGGTGTGGTCCGCTCACTGGAGGGGGCGGATTTAGGGTCAGGCCTGGTGCAGGGAAGCCCTTGCCCTCTCCCTGAGCTGGTGTGGGATTTGCAGGCAGACATGTGACCCAGGGGAGCCTGGAGGTGGCTGCAGGGGTCCTGCTGCTCAGCCGCTCCTCCTAGTACTGCTGTGGAGCTTTCTCCCCAGGGGCTCCCCGGTGCCCGCAGGGTTGTGGCTCCTCAGGGGCCTGTCTCCCAGGACCTCACAGTGCCCTGGGGGGAGCTGTGGGGTTGCATTAGCCCATCAGCAGGCTTTTGTGCATCTCCTCTCCCTACTCCAAGACTGGGCTCCCCCCATCACTCTCACCTTCCCCTTCCCCAGAGCCCTCGCTCTGGTCTTCCCCATTGGCCCACCTCCTCTGGGAAGCCCTCCAGGCCAGGTGGCCACATGCTGCATCCCACATCGGAACACCTGAGGCCCACACAGCACTGTCAGGCACTGGCCCTCCACCGTCAGCCTACTTTACACAGTGTCAGCCAGGACAGGGCACGTCATCTCTCATCCCCATGTGCCCAGCACAGCTAGGGTGCTGCCCCTCACAGCAAGTGGACACAGAGGGTCTCGGACCAGCTCCTGGCTCCTCTCTACTCAGGTGTGCTGGCAGGCAGGGGCCGGGCTGGGGAAGGGGTAGTGGGAGCTGGGCTTACGGTGACAGCAGCGTGGCGCCCCACCAAGACCACTGAGTCCCAACCCTCCCAGGAGTCTGAGCATCTTGGTGGCCTTTGCAGGAGATGGGGCTCAAGGTGACCCAGCCAGCGTCCTTTGCGGTGCAGCTGAATGGTGCACAGGGTGTGATCGATGCCAGGGTGCACACGCCTTCGGGAGCTGTGGAGGAGTGCTACGTCTCCGAGCTGGACAGTGGTGAGCTGGCCCTGCCCCTGCCCATCCCCTGCCATGCCAGGACCTTCTGGGACGGGGATGGGGAGGATGGAGGCTCACCCACCAACCCTCTACCCACAGACAAGCATACCATCCGCTTCATCCCCCACGAGAATGGTGTCCACTGGAGCTGGGGAGCAGGGTGCCTTGGGGGATGCTCAGCCGCTAGTCCAGGACTGCCTTGCTCTGGAGGCCGGGGCAGTGCTCCTGAGTCCTGAAGTCCTGGCAGATGCTGCTCAGGGAAGGCTGGGGCCAGCCTCACTCTGGGCCACGAGCCCTTGCTGCCTACAGCCTTGCTGCCTCTGGCCCCCAGGCGTGTCATCATTGTTCATCGTGAACACCCTGAACTTGGGTGTCACCATCGACGGCCCCTCCCACGTGCAGCTGGACTGTCGGGAGTGTCCGGAGGGCCACGTGGTCATTTACACTCCCATGGTCCCTGACAACTACCTCATTGCCATCAAGTACGGTGGCCCCCAGCACATGGTGGGCAGCCAGCCACTTCAAGGCCAAGGTCACAGGTGTGTGCCAGGTGGGGGGAGGTCTGCCCCTCAGGTCCCTGGCTGTCTGGAGGCCACAGCCTTCATGAAACATCCACGGTTCTGGTGGAGACTGTGACCAAGTCGTCCTCAAGCCGGGGCTCCAGCTACAGTTCCATCCCCAAGTTCTCCTCAGATGCCAGCAAGGTGGTGACACGGGGCCCCTGACTGTCCCAGGCCTTTGTGGGCCAGAAGAACTCCTTCACCGTTGACTGCAGCAAAGCAGGCAGGCTGGAGGGGGGAGGAGGGCACTGTCCCAGGGTGGGCTTGTCTGCAGGGACGAGGCAGGTGGGAGTGAAAAGCCATTGGGGGGCGGGGGTGGCCCTGTGTGAGCGCGACCCTCTGCCTCCCTCTCCAGGCACCAACATGATGATGGTGGGCGTGCATGGGCCCAAGACCCCCTGTGAGGAGGTGTATGTGAAGCACATGGGGAACCGGGTGTACAACGTCACCTACACCGTCAAGGAAAAAGGAGACTACATCCTCATCGTCAAGTGGGGCGACGAAAGCGTCCCTGGAAGCCCCTTCAAAGTCAACGTGCCCTGAATTCCAGAAGCGCCTCCTCCAGCCTCGGCCCCCACCTCCGGCCAAACACCCTCACTCACTCGCACACACAAATGCGCCACACCCAGATGCACTCGTGCAGAGTCCGCACTACGAACACCTGCCCGGGGCTGAAGTGAATGGCACGGCCTCCCGTCCCCACCGTGCCCTCAGGGGTTGGAGGGCCTTGTCTGTCTCAGGGCAGTGTCCTCCTCCTGGAATGTGACTCGAGGGCAGACTGGGGCAGGCTGTGGGCAGAGGCTGCCATACACGAGTGGACAGGGAGCTGTGGGGCCAGGGAAGCCCTGGGCATCTTCCTGGTGTCACTTTGAGCTCCTTACCCTGATACTATCAGATTCCTGAGAGGACACAGGCTCCCCCCACCCCCCAGTGCATGGTTGGGGTGAAGATTAGAGATCACATAAGAGAAATAATAAGTGCTGGTACTTCCGTGCCGGGCCCCATGTTGAGTGCTCTCCTGGCATTACTTCATTAACCTTCACAAACTATGAGGTGGGTGCTGTTAGACCCCAGTCACAGCTAGGAAAAATTAGCCAGGGAAAGTGAAATGACTTGCCTGAGGTCACAGAGCAGTAAGCGTGAGACCCAGGATCTGCCCCGGCAGCCCTGGGCGGAGTCTGCTCTGAGCCTCTCCACTCAGCCTCCCAGAGGGCTTGCCTTAGCCCAGGCACCCAGCGATCAGAAACCATTTCCTTAAACCTGGTGGGAACAGCGCTGCCACTTCCTCTTCCTTTTCAGGCCGGCTGGCCCTGGCTTTCCGCTCTCTGTGACCCAGCTCCAGGCCACCGGGGCTAGGGTCCAGTGCTGACCACAGCCTTCCCTCCCCCTGGGGCAAACTGCTCTTCACTGAAGCCTTAAGATACAAGGAGAGTGGGCTGGGGGAACTTTAGTCCCTGCTTGGGCTGGGGGGAGGTGGCGGCTTCCGATTTCTGGTCTTTGTGGCCGGGAGGGAGACTGCCTTGGCAGGATTCACAGCCCCGCCCTCGATGTCCCTCTTTGCCTGTGAGCTTGGGGCCGCAGCCCTTTGCTTCCCAGCTGCACTGAGGAGCGTCCCAGCCTTGCAGCCCACGTGGACAGCTTCCCTCACTTCCTCTGCCTGCTGAGCCCGGGGCCCAGCACTGCCCCCTACCCAGCCTCACCCCACAGGCCAGGCCTGAGCTCAGGAGCTGGAAAACGGGGCTGGGACCAGTCTGGGAAGGGAGGCCTTGGTGTTTGGGGTCAAGCCTGGGGCTGCTGGGGCGGGTAGGGGTGGTGAGTGGAGTCCAGGAAAGAAACTCAGAGGAAGAGAGAGGAATATACTGGGTGTCCTTGATTTCGGAGACCAGGATTAGCTCTTGCTGTTACTAATTATTATTTACTGAGTATTTACCAAGTGTCTGCCACTCCCATCACTTCTTTGTGTACATAATCTCATTTAATCCTCACTACAAGTCTGTAAAGTAGGCATGGGATCCCAGTTTACAGACAGGTAAACTGAGGCAGAGAGAGGTTAGTGATCTAAGGCCACATGGAATTGGCCAAGCAGGGATTTGAACCCAGCTCAGTCTGCTTGTCCTGTAAAGAGGCGTTCCCAGGGCCAGGGAGAGGGGCTTTCCCCGAGCCCAGGCGTGGTGGACTTGGGTTTATTTTCAGGGTCTCCTCCTGGATCCTGCGCAGGAGACAAGGGCCGCACCGCCTGGTTTCCTGTGAGGCTGGGGCTGCCCTCTGGGGTCAGGCCGGGCGCCCCGGGCGGTGGCGGTGCCCATGGGGGAGGGGGCGCGGAGGGGGGGTGAGCCCTCCCTGAACAAAGGCTGGGTGGGAGCGGCCTGTGGCTCCCCACCCCGCCTTCCCCAGCGCCTGCCGAGCCGCGACGACAGACAGCGAGGCGGAGCCAGCATGGCGGGGGCCCTGCTGCCCCTGCTCCTGCGGCTGGGGACCCTGGCGCTGGCCGTGGGCGCGGGAGGTGAGTCGGGGCGCCGAGGGCTTGGGGAGGCCAGGCGCGCCCCCACCTCCTGCTCTGGCCGTCTGAGCAGCCAGGCGGTCGGTGGGGGGGCGCTGCTTCTCCAGCCGCGGGGGGGGGGGGCGGCGCGCGCACCCTCCAGGCCAGCTGGTCCTCCCCGTCGGGGAGGTGGATTGGGCAGAGTGGGGGTGCAGGGCGGGGAGGGGGCCCCTGCTATGCCTCTGGAGGGAGTCCTGCGGCCAGGAGTGGGGGAAGAGAGAGGCTGCCCGGACATCTGGGAGTCTGAAGTTAATTATTTGTCTTGAGAAAGGGGGGATAAGGAGGCCCACTGTGGGAGCCGACTTCGAGTCTCTGGGCTGGCCCTTCCCTGAGGGGACAGGCAGGCACGGAGGGCGAGTGCAGGCGCTGGGAGGGGAGCAGAACCGTTCCATGGGAGCAACCAGGTTTGTGCCAATCTCGGGAGCTCTGTCTGTGTGTGGGTCTCCCCAGCCTCCCCCTGCCCCTTCTTGTGTCTGCCTAAGCAGCACTGGAGCGGTGGCAGGGAGCAGGGCTCACGGGGAGAGCCGGGTGAGGTGATGCGGGAGTCTAGCCTGGGCAGAGGGTTTCAGGTGCTGAAACCCCATCCCTGGCCGCTTTCCTCACGGTTGGGAGGGAGCTGGGCACAGGAGCCGTGCCAGGACAGAGTGCTGTTCCAGGGGACAGGATTGCTGCACAAGGCACGGAGATGGGGACAGGCACAGAGGTTTGGATGCCGCTGGACGCCTGGGGGTTAGAACCCCTGATGTGGGGTGCAGCAGGGCGGTGGCTGCTGGGAGCCTCCGCTGTGCTGTGCAGAAAGGTCGGCAGAGAGAAGAGGTGCAGATGGAGGCAGGGGGCTGGGTCTCCTGAATGGGGACAGTGGGGAGACGATTGGAGAGGGACAAATGCATTAGGGGACAACTGAGGGAGACCAGAGACTGATGGGATTTGGGAGGGGTACAAAAGAGCGGGGCTGAGCCCCAGATTTCTAGCTTAGGTGACTAGGTAACGGGATGGCATTACCAAACCCAGGAGCTCAGGGCAAGGCAGGTTTGGAAGAGGGCAAGCTTGGTTTTGGACTAGAATCTCCTCCCCACTTGGTGGTGGCAGTGGCAAGCGGAGTGGGTGACGCTGTTCTGCCCCACAGGCCTAGTGTCTGTGAGAAACCTTTCAGCCGCCCCACGCCCAGCCTTACTAATGAGCTGCTGCTGTGGGGAAAGACCCAGTGCGCCCGCCTCCTCCAGGCCCTCCCTGCCCTGGCCACCCCCACTTGGGGGAGGGGTCCTGTCTGCCTGTTCCCCTCCTGCCTTTACTTTCCTGGCTACAGAGAGGGATCAAAGTGAGAAGGTGAAAGTGGCCTTGCCCAGTCCAGGCCTGTGCTCAGAGGCGCCGCTCCCCACTTCCCTGGACATATTGTCACCTAGAACCAGGGACAGGCTGTCTTTCCTCCGCCTGGTGTGCTGAAAGCTAGTGGGCACATTGCCAGCACTTTCCCCAGACCCTTCAGGAAATGCAGCCAAGTCCTGCTTTCTAGAACCCAGCCCACCCAAGATGGGGGCCACCAGGACCCTCCACCCCAGGCCTGGAAAACAGTGGTCAGGCTTGGGAATGGGAATAGAAGAAATAGTTGTCCCTCCCTGAGCACATTCTCCGGAAGCGGTGCCCATTCTGACAGGTGTAGAGGGTGGGGGCTACTCACGTGCTCCCTGAAAAGACCCTCAGCTCAGCCTGGGCACCTTAATGTGGCCCCACCTTGCACGTGTCTATCACCCTCCCCTGCATTTCAGCCTGTGCTGGCGTCTGGGCCCTCCCAGCATGGCATGTCAGCTCCCCAGGCCATCCCTGGCCAAGTCCCTGGCCCAAAAGAGGATGGATGATCCTGATGCACCCTGCCATGGCTGGGGACCCTCACAGAGTCGGGGCAGGCTGCAGGGGACCCTGGTCTGGATGCTGCTCTGCGTCCCCAGCGGGTCGGGGGCCCTGGGGCTCACCCTAACAAGGACAGAAAGCCGGTCTGGGCCACTTTTGTCCACTCAGGGCTTCCTCCTCCTCCTCCCATGCCCCTGCTCCCAGCTTTCATGGCTGCATCCCCACAGACCGTATCTCCTTCCCTGTATGGTGGGGGGCAGGTGGACATGGTGGGGGCACAGGATGACCCTCCTCCCCCACGTAGTTCAGAGGACAGAACCAGGAACCCTGGCCAGCCCTTCATCCTTAAGCTCACACGGGATTCCCGTGCCCTTCAGGTGGGGCCGTCCCCAGGGAGCCCCCCAGGCCTGCTGACACCCACACCCACCAGCAGCAGGCACCTGCCCACTCCTCAGCCCCTGCTGGCAGCCCCCAGGAGCAGGGGCACCCCCTTCGAGAGTGGCTTGGGCGGCTGGAGGCTGCGGTGATGGAGCTCAGACAGCAGGTACCATGGAAGCAGCTTGAGCAGGGGGAGGAAGGAGATAAGGGGTGGGGCTTGGGGCGGGGCCCAGGGCCCTAAAACAGCGTTTTGTTTTAAATGCACATGGAGAGGCTCTTATCTGAACAGTTCTTAACATCAACTCTTTCACACAAATGAAGAACCTCCAGGATATTTGTTTTGTCACCCAGATTTTCATATTGTTTCCCGTGTTTGGGAAATGTTATAGAGCGATTATAGATAAGGAAAGGTTTGGATGAGTAAAGAAGTCCTTAACTGTTGGGACAGGGAGTTGGGTGCCCATTCTGTCCAAAGGAGAGGCCTGGGGGCCCATTGCTCCCCCACGTGAGCTGGGTTCTGATGGAGGGGGACCCACCTCTGCTCTGGAGTTGTCAGATTTCCTTCTCATCCTGCCTCAGTTTTGCACCCACACATCTGTGGGAGATGGTGGGGGAAGCTGAGCTAGTGCCTGCCACCCCCTGCCCTACTCCCCCAGAATGAGGACCTGAAGGCGAGGGTGCAGCGGCTGGAGGCCTGCGAGTGCCGCCCCGCCTCTCCTCAGTGCTGGGGGCTGGGGCGTGCCTGGCCTGAGGGTGCCCGCTGGGAGCCTGACGCCTGCACGGCCTGCACCTGCCAGGATGGGGCCGCGCGCTGTGGCCCCCAGACCCACCTGCCCCACTGCCGGGGTAAGTGCCAGTCCATCCGCTGGCTGGGGCCACCTCGGGGCCTGCACTCTTGGTGCCTGAATGACAGTACTGTCTCCTCAGGCTGCAGCCACAGTGGTCAGACCTATGGCAATGGGGAGACCTTCTCCCCAGACGCCTGCACCACCTGCCGCTGCCTGGTGAGCTGCTGTGACCCACCTGGATGTCCCATGCCTGTCTCCCTCACCCGTTGATACAGCCTGGTGTGCTAGACGTCATGTAATGGGTCTACCCGCCCCTCCCCCACACCTTGCCACCATGGCCCTCAGCTGACACCCCCGTGCACGCTATGGGGGCGCCCAAACCCCTTGATTTGGATCTGGCAAGCAGTGGCATGGAGGGCAGAGGACGTAGTTGCTTGTCTTTGGACATCACTCCCTCACCTGTGTGACTCTCACTGTCCCCACTCTTCCCCTGCCCCTGTCGTCTACCTCAGCACCCCGCCTGCCTGTTCTCTCTCAACTGGCTCCATGGCCACCTTCTTCCTGCCTTTCCTTCCTCCCTCCTCCATCAAGAAAGCCCTCGGTCCTCTTCCTAGGCTCTCTCCACTCCAGGGAATTCGTTGGCAACTGGAAGAGATGGTTTCCGGGGGTCAAGGGCATCAGGAGATGAAGGAGGGTGGGGGGAGAGGCAGGACATCTGTATTCTGCCCTTACTCCGAGGGTAGCCCATGAACCCAGAACCGACTCATCCTCTGGCTGCTCTGACACGTCCCAGCCTGGGTGGGGCTTGGACGCTGGAGGCCCTGACCTCTTCTGAGGCCTGTACAGCCACCTCCTCTGCTTCCCACAGCAGGGAGCCATAGCCTGCACCCAGAAGCCATGCCCAAGAGGACCCTGCCCTGAGCCCGGAGCATGCTGCCCACACTGTGAACCAGGTCCAGCCTCCTGCCAGTCCCGCCCCACCTCCTGCACGCGCTCTGGGGACCCACAGCCATGGTCTGCCACCTGGGAGCGAGCAAGTGTGGGGCACCTGCCCACTGCCTCTGACGGCAGTCCTAGGAGTTCAGAGCCCACGCCCAACTCAGCAGACACTGGCTCTGGCCTGGGACTGAGTCAGAGACTACAAAGGAGGCCGGGCATGGTGGCTCACACCTGTAATCCTAGCACTCTGGGAGGCCGAGGCAGGCGGATCGTTTGAGCTCAGGAGTTCGAGACCAGCCTGAGCAAGAGCAAGACCCCCATCTCTACTAAAAAAAAATAGAAAGAAATTATCTGGACAACTAAAAATATATATATATAAAATTAGCCGGGCATGGTGGCGCATGCCTGTAGTCCCAACTACTCGGAAGGCTGAGGCAGTAGGATCGCTTGAGCCCAGGAGTTTGAGGTTGCTGTGAGCTAGGCTGACGCCACAGCACTCTAAAAAAAAAAGAGACTACAAGGGAAATAGACACATGATTTCTCCTGCCCTCAGGGAGCTTCTAGTCTAGTTGAGAAGATACATTTATAGCTAGTCTAACTCTAGATTTCAGATGCAATGACTGTAGTAAGAGGAGGTGTAGAAGGCAGTAGAGTACGTGCTTTGCCAGAGGAGGGACAGGAGGGTAGGGAAGGCCATCCAGGTGGTCGGGGTGTCTCTACAGACAGTGGCTCATTTGAGCTGATCTTCAAGAGAAAGTGGAATTTCACCAGCTGAAGGAGAAGGAATACTTGAGGGCCCCCTGGGCACAAGGACAGGGTGGCAAGAGGTGTGCTGCAGGAAGTCAGTCTGGGAAGGCCCGTGGGAACAGGCTGCAGTAAGTCTTGCAGTTTGGGCTTTCTTCTGTGAGCAATGGGGAGCCATTGAAGGCTGAAGAGCCAGAGTATGGCGTGGTGGAAGAGGTGTTTTAGGAATATTTATCTGGTATGGGCTAGATGCAGAGAGCCCAGTTAGGGGGCTGGCACAGCATTGTCTAGGCATGGAGCCAGGGGTGGCAGAGGGCTTTAGAAAGGGGGGTGTTTCTAAAGAATGGGCAGAAGCTGGTGGCTGGTCAATCCCATGGAATAGTGGAGGCCAAGTTGGGAAAATAGGAGGGCAGAGGTGCCAGGGGTGTGGAGAGAGCTGGGAGGAAGAGGGGCCCATGGCTGAGCTGGGCTGTTACTCGCTCATAGTCAGGGGGCTAGGGGTGCCAGATTTGGCAGATAAAAGTGCAGGATGCCTGTTAAATTTAAATTTCAAATAAACAACGCATAAGGTTTTAGTATAAGTATATCCCATGCAATATTTGGGACATTCTTATACTAAAAATTGATTCGTTATTTATCTGAAATTCAAATTTAACTGAACGCCCTGTATTTTATGCGGCAACCCTCCCCCCCCCGGAAAGGAGTCTCAGCTGGTAGAGAGAAAGGTGAGACAGGACTCAGACCAGTGAGGTCTCGAAGTGCAGCCTGGGAGTCTGCACCAGAGAAGTCTTGGGAGCTGACGGAGCTCAGAGGAAAGGCACACACACAGCTTTCTGGGCACGTGGTGCCTCAGGGCCACTGCTAGCCTGTATGTTGCCTTTGGCGAAATAAAAAAGGCACCACTCTCATGAAGACACTTTATTTCCATCTGTTGTAAAATAATGGAAATATACTATGTTGGAGTCAGGCACTTTAATGCCATCTGCTGGAGAGTTGCAGTATAATGAATATTAAAATCTCATGACTGCCATCTGAATGGTGCCCCTTTGATCTGGCACCAAGTCTCACTTGGGGGCCTGGGCCTGGGTTTGCAGGCTGCCCTGGGGGCCACAGGGCTGGAGAAACATGGCATCCGGAGCCCTGTGTCATCTGCACCTGCCAGGTAAGGGAATTAGGGGCTGGCCCTAGCCACCACCCACGTCCCTGCTGCTTGGCATAGGCCAGGTCTGGCCGTGCAAGCCCAGTCTGGGAGTGAGACAGGGCTGCTGCTGCTGCCTGGGCATCTGGACCATGGAGAGGGAGGGAGGGAGAAAGGGTGGGAGGGCTCAGTGTCTGCCCCGCAGGCAGGGACCGTGCGGTGCCAGGGGCCCTCATGCTCAGAGCTCAACTGCCTGGAGAGCTATACTCCACCTGGGGAGTGCTGCCCCATCTGCCGGCCAGGTGACCTTCTGCCCTGCCCCTCCATCGCCTCAGCCCCGGAGGGTCCAGTACCTACTTGGGGTCATGCCTTCCCTCGGGTAATGTCCACCCACCCTGCTCTCTGGTGACCCTCCTGTCATCCTGGCAACCCTCCCTAGGCTGTGAGTATGAGGGGCAGCTTTATGAGGAAGGGGCCAACTTCCCGTCCAGCTCCAACCCTTGTCTCCAATGCTCCTGCCTGGTGAGTCCACCTGCCACCTCTGCCCAGGCCCCGCTCGTGCTTGGACACCCCTGCTCTGCCCTGGGCCATGCCTGCCACTCTTCCAGCCTCCTCACATGCCTCCCGAGAGCTGGTGCCAGTGAGGCGCTCTCTCCATCTCTGCCCTGCGCCCCACTCCTCCGAGGGTACCCAACACCTACCTGCCATGCCCTCCCTGGGAGCCAGGCCTGCAGGCATCACAGCCACTGGTGCATTACAGAGGAGCCTGGTTCACTGCGTGCCCATCAAGTGCCCACCCAGCCCCTGCCCTGAGCCAGTCCTGAGGCCTGGGCACTGCTGCCCAACCTGCCAAGGTGAGAGCCCCTGGCCTTTGCCTAGTGGAGCCACATGTGGCTGTTCACACCATTTCTCAAACCCCAGAGCCACCCTGCTGGCCCCTGATGGGGTTTGGTCCATCTTCTAGGCCTATGCTGGAGCCGGAACACCTGAGCTCACATTCTGCCCTTGCCACTGTGTCACTTTGTGCTTGTGTGTAACTAAGTGACTCTGTGCCTTGGTTTCCCCATTTGTAAGGTGCTGGTGAGTGATGGTGTCCTATACCTCACAGTGCTACTTAGTAAATGTTCGTTATCTGCTTTGTGCTCCCTAAACACATAAGTCACGGATCAGCCCTCATGGGTGACCACTAGAGTGTGATACTAAGTCACACATGAGTGCAAAATGCTGTCACATGGCAAAGGCTGGAATAGAAGCAGGTGCCAGGTACAGGGGAGATTCAGAGGAAGGAGACCCGATCCAGCTTGGGCACAGCAGGGAAAGCAGCCTTGGGGACAGTGCTCCCGAGGTGGCCCTTACCGGTGAAGAGCAGTTCTCCGGGTGAAGGGCCAGGGAAGGAGGAGGGCGTTCCTGGAAAAGGAACAGCCCAAGCAAAGGCTTAGAACCGGCACAGTGGGGGTGGGTGGTGTTAGGTGGGATAGGTGGGAAGACGCAAGGAGGCATGAATGGAATGGCCAAAGCTTAAAGTGAGAGGTGACAGGGGCCAGAGACAGGTGGGGCAGGTGGGCTGTGCTATGTACTGGGAAAGGGCAGGCTAAGGAGTTTGGGCCTCACCCTGCCTGGGGCAGTGGGAGCCACAGAGGAGTTTAGGCAGGGTGTGACCCCATCTGGTCTCGGCTCAGGAGAGAGCCAAGGAGGACAGTGGGGGTGGGCTGAGGCTGGGGTCCAGGCCGTTCCCACCAGGCCTCCTCTCTGCCCCCCCCAACCCCAGGCTGCACAGAAGGGGGCTCTCACTGGGAGCACGGCCAAGAGTGGACCGCACCTGGGGACCCCTGCCAGATCTGCCGGTGCCTGGTGAGTTCCGAGGCTGCTGCTGGGCTGTCTACCCCCGCCCCCAGGTCCCTCAGGCCCACCGTATTCATGCCTTCATTCCGCTGAACTCACGCCATAGGCACTGGGAGGGGACCAGAGGGAGGACACCTAGTCCTGGGTGCTGTGAGGGTGGGCACTGTATGCCCAGCCCTGGGCACGGTAGGCACTCACAAGCCGGAGGAGGAGAGAGGCAGGGCAGGATGGGACGGGCGGCAAAAGTTCCAGGGAGGGAGAAACGCGGCCAGACTCGCGGTACCTGGAGCTGTGCTGTGCGATCGGCAGCCACGACTGCACGTGGCTGCCGAGCTCTCGAAATGTGGCCGGTCCAAACTGAGATGTGCTATCAGTGTAAAATACATGTCGGATTTTAAGGACTTACTACAAAAAAAGGAATGCAAAATATCTCCTGAATCTACCATGTTGATTACATGTCAAAATAACATTTTCGATACATTGGGTCAAACAAAATATATTGTTAAAATTTAATTTCATCTGGTTTTTTTTACTAAAGTAAATGGCACAAGTTGCCTGCATTGTATTTCTATCAGGCGGCACAGATCTACTACATCTTCACCGGAGTCGTGCTTACCTAGGCCGTTGAGGGCAAGCAGGGTTTGCAGGGAGCACTGGGGAAGATGCCCAGGTACAGGGACGAGGAAGGGCAAAGCCTGGAGAGGAAGGCAGGGCCATGTGGGCCGTGATGTCCAGGCAGGCACGTGAGGAGGGCTGTGCTTCCTGGGGGCTGAAGCCAGCGCCCTGGAGCTTCCCGACAGCCTGCTAAGGACTAAGGACACTGCTGTGAGGGCCATGGGGCACCCAACCCCACTGCAGCCATGTCCTCCCCGTCCCTGTCCACGCTGACACCCCGTCCCCCTGAGAAGACCCTGGTGAGGCAGGAATGTGGGTGCAAATATGAGGGGTGGGTCTGTTTGGGACAGCCCATGGGGGAGCAGCCACTGTGTTAAGTACCAACTTCCAGACACCTTATTTCATTTCATTTCTGTAACAAGCCTACAAGAGCAGGTCTATCATTGTCCACATTTTTCAGATGAGTAAACTGAGCCACAGCGAGCAGAAGTGACATGCTAGGCTATAGGTCTGTTTAGCTTCCTAGGGCTGCTGTAACGAAGTACCGTGGAGTGGCTTGTTCCCAATTCTGGGAACAATTATCTCCCAGTTCTGGGGGCCAGAAGTCTGAGATCAGGCTGTTGACAGAGCTGGTTCCTTCCGAGGGCCGGGAGGGAGGCTGGTGCAGGCCTTTGCCCTGGTGTCCGGCAGCGTGCTGGCGATCGCTGGCATCTTTTGGCTTCTGCAACACTCAGATTTCTGCCTTCCTGTGTGTGTGTGTGTGTGTGTGTGTGTGTGTGTGTCTGTGTCCAGATTTCCCCCTTTTAGAAGGACCCAGTCATATTGGATGAGGGCTCCACCCTAGTCCAGTATGACCTCATTTTAACTAATTACATCTGCAACAACCTTATTTCCAAATGAAGTCACATTCTGAGGTCCTAGGGGGTCAGGGCTTCAATATATGAATTTGTGGGGGCATGCAATTCAACCTGTAACATCTAATAAGTGGATAGCTGGGATTCGAACGCTGTTTCTGCCCCTTGGCTGAGCCCTGATGACCCCTTCACCTGCCCCCCCCCTTCCCCCACCAGGAGGGCCACATCCAGTGCCGCCAGCGGGAATGCACCAGCCTGTGCCCGTATCCTGCCCGGCCCCTCCCGGGCACCTGCTGCCCCGTGTGTGATGGTGAGTCGTGGGTGGAGCAGCGTCCTGAGCTCAGAGGGCAACCTGGCACCTCAGAGAGCTGAGGGGTGCCCAGCTCGGGTCTCCCATGAAGGCAGGGGTGGGCAGTGAGGGCCCCTGGGGAGCACCTGAAGCACCTCTTCCCAACAGGCTGCTTCCTAAACGGGCGGGAGCACCGCAGCGGGGAGCCCGTGGGCTCCGGGGACCCCTGCTCCCACTGCCGCTGTGCTGTGAGTGTGGCCGCCTGGCGGGGGCTGGGGGTGGCTTCCCGGCCTGCGTCTCACTGTCCACTGCCCGTAGAACGGGAGTGTCCAGTGTGAGCCTCTGCCCTGCCCGCCCGTGCCCTGCAGACACCCAGGCAGGATCCCTGGGCAGTGCTGCCCAGTCTGTGACGGTGAGTGGGGGTCAGGGTCACCACGGGAGGGGCAGGCACCAGCCTGAGAGGGTCTCCAGGTGTGGGGGGTTGCTTCCCTTGGACCTAAGCACCTGTCCCACAGGTGAGTCCTCACCTCACCTTCTCGTGGCAAACAGCACCGTGGCAGGCTGCACCCCGTGATGTGTTGGGGGGACTGGTGGGGCCTCCTGGAGGACTTGGATGGGTCCTCGTCAGGGTTGCGGGGAGGCCTTGGGGTGGCGTGAGGCTCCCCCTCGGCCTCCAGCCCTGTACCCCCATTGTCCTGTGCTCCCATCCAGGCTGTGAGTACCAGGGACACCAGTATCAAAGCCAGGAGACCTTCAGACTCCAAGAGAGTGGCCGCTGCGTCCGCTGCTCCTGCCAGGTAGGCAGTCCCACCTTCTCATGCCCAGATCTGGCCCGTTCCTTGAGGGTCTCTCATTGGGTCTCCCTCCTAGGCTGGCGAGGTGTCCTGTGAGGAGCAGGAGTGCCCACTCGCCCCCTGTGCCCCGCCTGCCTCCGGCCCCCAGCTCTGCCCAGGTGTGTGTGTGTTTGCGGGGGAGAGCGCTGCCTCCACGGGGCTGGGGGTGGAGGGGTGTCCCTTCCCGGTAAGGGGGAGGGGGCTGCTAAGTCCACTAGCCATTGTGCAGCGTGTTCAGAGGCTCTGGCGGGGATGGTGAAGCCAGGGTCCCCATGGTCTGGGAAGGACAGGGATGGGTGGGAGGTGTTCGGTTGCCCTATGACACCCCTCTTACTGTAGCCTGCGTGCTGGATGGAGAGGAGTTTGCCGAGGGCGTCCAGTGGGAGCCTGATGGTCAGCCCTGCACCGCCTGCTCCTGTCAAGATGGGGCGCCCATGTGTGGAGCTGTGCTCTGCCCCCCAGCCCCCTGCCAGCACCCCACCCAGCCCCCTGGTGAGTGCTCTGGCCCATCCTGGCTTCCTTCCCCTGCTTTGCAGGCCCACCCTGACCGGCCTGCCTCACCCAGGTGCCTGCTGTCCCAGCTGTGAGAGCTGCACCTACCACGGCAGAGTGTATGCCAATGGGCAGAACTTCACGGACGCAGACAGCCCTTGCCACACCTGCCGCTGTGAGGTACCTCCCGAGGCTTGCTGCTGCCCTGCTGAGCCCCTCCTGGGCCCACCCCCATTGCTGTCTCCCCTGCTCCAGGATGGGACTGTGAGGTGCTCCTTGGTCGACTGCCCTCCCACGACCTGTGCCAGGCCCCAGAGTGGACCCGGCCAGTGCTGCCCCAGGTGCCCAGGTATGGTTTACTGTGCTGGGTGGCTCGGGACCCTGCTGCCCCATGGCCCTGTGGGCCAACAGGTACCTTAGAAAGCAGCGGCCTTCTGAATCATTTTCAGTCTGACACTGTTGGCCTATAAAGAGACATAAAAGGTTTCAGGAGTTTTGCAGGGCTTTGCCTTGAAGGAATATGTGAACGTGTTAGTTCACAGATCAAAAGCTGCCTCACCTGAGGAGGGCATCTCACTGGTCAGCGTTTGCATGGCGACGCTGTCTCAGACCTGAAGGCTGCTTATGCCTGACGCCTCTGTAGGTCAAGGCTCAGTATGTGGTCACAGGCTGAGAACTGATCAAAGAGTGCCTGCCCACCCCTGACAGACACCTGTGGCTAGAAACAATTGGCCTAAGGGACAGTTCCTGCTTCACTCCTGACTACTTGTCTCAATCAACAAAACACTAGATGAAGAAATATAGAGCCACTGTATTTCTGTTTAGCCTTTCTGCTAAGTGATAATTCTATCTTAGGACTTAGAAGTTTATCTTAGAAAGATTTTGTAACCATTTGCTCACATAGATAGAGTTAATTAAGGGATCTCTAGAAGCTTTTGGGGACACTTTAAACCTAAAGGAACTACCTGTTATTATGTAAATCTGTTCCCACTGGCAACTGATCTCTGCACCAATAAATAAAGATGGGGGAGTCGGGGGTCATCCAGCATGACACAGTTGAGAACTCTCTGGAACTCACAGGTTGTGGGTGGGAGAGCAGAGATTTGTTTATCCCTTTGTGTTCCTACACCACCCTCCCCTCCCATCCACCGTTTCCTCTTCCAATACCCACCCCTGGCCCCGTACACCGCATATCTACCTGTAGAACACAGCTTCATGCAGCAGAGTTTGAGCCTGCCATGTAGGAGACTGCTGGATGCATGGGACACATCCCTGCCCGAATGGAGTCTGTGCAGGCCATATGTCACACACACAGGCACACACACGTGTAAACTCTTCAGTTTCCCTTCGGAAACACACACCTGCCTGCTGGTGAATGGCCTCAAATGCACACACAGAGGCATGAGCTTAGAAGCATGTGCACGCCTGCGCACGTGTGTGCACAGGCCCCGCCTCCTCTCCCTCTGCAGGGACAGCTTCCGATCGGACACTTTCACAGTGTCTCTGGGCTCCCGGGGTGGAGGGACTGTCAGGCTGTGCACCCATTCCTGCCCCCACTGGCCTTGCCCAGACTGCATCCTGGAGAAACAGGTGTTTGTGGACGGCGAGAGGTTCTCTCACCCCGGAGACCCCTGCCAAGAGTGCCAGTGCCAGGACGGCCATGCCCACTGCCAGCGTCGCACCTGCCCTAGGCCCCCCTGTGCCCACCCGCTGCCTGGGACCTGCTGCCAGAACGACTGCAGTGGTGAGGTGGACGGGATGGTGGCTCCCTGAGGTGGCTTGGCCCCGGGATGGCAGCTTGGCCATGGTGGGAGAGGGAGTGGCTCTCTGCAGGCCCACAGCTGCCCCTCCCCCAGGCTGTGCCTTCGGTGGGAAAGAGTACCCCAACGGAGCGGACTTCCCCCACCCCACTGACCCCTGCCGTCTGTGTCGCTGTCTGGTGAGTCTGCGAACTGGACAGCAGGAGCCCAGGGAAGTGGAGGTGGAATCCGGGGGAGGCAGGAGAGGGCCACCGAGACGCGGGTGGGAGGGGTGGTCTCCTGGGCCTCCCACCACCAACCCGGCCTGGCGTGGTCCATCTGTCCATCCGCAGAGCGGCAACGCGCAGTGCCTGGCCCGCCGCTGCCCGCCGCTGCCCTGTCCCGAGCCGGTCCTGCTGCCGGGAGAGTGCTGCCCGCAGTGCCCGGGTAGGGGCCGCCCCCTCGGGCGGGCGGAGCCAGGCCGCTCCTCCCCGGAGCCCCCTTGGTGGCCTCTTCCTGCGCCTCCTTGACGCGAGCTCTCCCGCAGCCGTTCCTGCCGCCAGCTGCCCGCGGCCGGGTGGCGCGGTCCCCGCCCGCCACCAGGAGCACTTCTCCCCGTCCGGCGACCCTTGCCGCCGCTGTCTCTGTCTCCACGGCGCCGTGTCCTGCCAGAGGCTGCCCTGCCCGCCCGCGCCCTGCGCCCACCCGCGCCAGGGGCCCTGCTGCCCCTCCTGCGACGGTATCGCCCCGCCGCGCCCCTCCCGCCCACCCCGAGCCCCCTGCCCAGTCCCCGCTCACCCTGCCCGGGATCCCCCGTCCTCCGTGCCCGCCCCTCCCACGTGGGGTTCTCATTGAAAATGCGGGGACAGTGTCCTCAGCCGGGCCTGGGAGCCACGCCACGGCCCCCCAGCCCCTCCCTTGTCCGCAGGCTGCCTGTACCGGGGGAAGGAGTTTGCCAGCGGGGAGCGCTTCCCCTCGCCCGCCGCCGCGTGCCACGTCTGCCTCTGCTGGGAGGGCGGCGTGAGCTGCGAGCGCAGGGCTTGTGCCCCCGCGCAGTGCCCCTTCCCCACCAGGGGCGACTGCTGCCCATCCTGTGACGGTGAGGGTCAGGGGCCAGGGGACTGAGGGGTGGGGTGACAAGAGGTCTGGGTTAGAGTCATCTTTACTGCCCTAGAGTGGATCTAAAATATTTATTACAGTAAGAAAAAAGCCTGGAACTGAAGTCTAGATTTTTTCCTGCCTCTGGTGCTATTTGGCTGTGTGGCCTTTGGCAAGTTACAAAACCTCTGTAGGCCTAATTTTAACTCCTGTAAAAAGAGAGTTGACCAGCCCCAGTTCCCCAGTCTTCTCTCATACTTGTTCTGTCTAGCAATATTTGCTATATACACTCTGCTAACTGTAATTTTATTCATTTAGTATTTTTCTTCAAATTAACTCGCTAATTTAAATTTATTTAGAAAAGAGTTTTATGTCAGACTGTAAATGGAAAATTAGACTTGCCAGGAACAGATTACCATAAAATTGAATACAATTAAAAACATATTGTTAAATTCTAGTCATATACTTTTGCCTGCCAAGGCTTTGCGCCTGAGGCTTGCCCTCTCTTTTTTACAAAGAGGTGAGCAAATGTCAGAGAGCTGCCGCCACCCCGGGCCCCGCCCCTCCTTGATTAATCAGAGGGCTTGAAGGAGCATTGGGAAGGGGATACCTGGGGTCTGCACCACCTAAGTCCACTGGTACGACTCCAGCTCTCCTGGGGTTGGGAAAATTGGTGCCTTCTGGCAGTGGCCTGCTGAGTGTTTAAGCCTGGGGACAAATTCCTTGTGGGTTTCTTCCTACAGATTGGACAGGGAGATTTTTTTGGCAGGATGAAGGGGAGAAAGTTTGCCCTTTAGCCAGTGCAAACCCTGTCCCACTTGAAACTCCTTTGCCTCCTGGGCCTGGACTGTGCCCTCCCCTCCTGCCAGGTGCTAGACCTTTGAGGTGGTGGAGGCATGCCTGGTCCCAGCTCAGAGCCATGACTGTGTCCCTCCCTTTTTGCCCCTCCTCCCTGCCTCTGGCTCCTCTCTGGAAGGCTGTGAGTACCTGGGGGAGTCCTACCTGAGCAGCCAGGAGTTCCTGGATCCCCGAGAACCCTGCAACCTGTGTACCTGCCTTGGAGGCTTTGTGACCTGTAGCCACAGGCCCTGTGAGCCTCTGGGCTGCAGCCACCCCCTCACCCCGTCTGGGCACTGCTGCCCCACCTGCCAGGGTAGGGCTGCACGTCCCCTTCCGTCCCCCTTCTGGGGCTCCCAGGGGCCTCCCGCTCCCCATCGGCCCACCCTTGAGATAGACACACACCCTAGTCTTTGCCCAGCTCCCACCCCCACTCCTCTCACACCCATCCACGCCCTTGTCTGTCCCCGCTATCACCTCACCAAATAACTGGTCCTCTGGTTTCCATATCTTCCTGCTCTTAAATTGTCTCTCTACCTTCCTAAAAGATGTCCCCATACTCAAAACTGTTCACTGACTCCCCTTGCCCTGGAGTCGCCAATCTGGAGTGGTAACCTCCTTCCTCTCCTGGCTTCCTCAGCACCATCCTCCCTGGCTTGGCCCACCTCGCCTGGGTTTCCAGGTGTGCCCATTCCCTTCCTCTCCTCTCTCCACACCAGCCCACCTGGATAGTATGTTCCCAGCAGTCTCTGCCCCATGTCCTCCCCGCTGCTCCTTCCACTCTTGCTGCCTGGAGAGCTGCCCTTCATTTGCCGTCTGGGCCGCTGCCTTTCCTCCCAGCCCTCACTGTCCCTGCCACGCCAGGCCATGCTTCTCTCTCCATCTCTGACTCCCTAAGCTTTGGCAGAGGTCCCCAGGCATGGCTGTGTATGTATGTGACAGTGGGGGCTCCATTGAGGGTGGCCCTTCTATTGCGTTCCCCATTCTGCCAGGATGCCTGTACCACGGCGTCACCGCTGCCCCCGGAGAGACCCTCCCTGACCCACTTGACCCTGCCTGCTCCCTCTGTACCTGCCAGGTGAGGTGGCCCCTTTGGGAATGTGGTAACCTTTCATCTCTTGATCGTCCTCTCTGGCCAGAATGGGGCTGTCTCTTCCACCCAGGTCCCAAGCGGTATATGCTGCCTGTGACATCTTGTGGGACAAGACTGGGTTCAGGCCTCCTGGGCTAAGGGAGCTGAGGTTTGGGCCTGGCAGGCCCAGGAGGTGTGCCCACCTTGGGGCAGTGCGCAGCCTGGTTTGAGGGTGTGATGGAGTGACTTGGGAATCGGAAGTGGCAGCATGACTTCTCTCCCCCAGGAAGGTTCCATGCACTGCCAGAAGAAGCCATGTCCCCCAGCTCTCTGCCCCCACCCCTCTCCAGGCCCCTGCTTCTGCCCTGTGTGCCACAGTGAGCTACCTTCCACGTGCCCCAGCCCCAGCCCTTCGCCACCTCTCCCTCCCTCCTTCCCTCCCTTCCTGCCAGGCCTGTCAGCCCCACCACCTAGGAGGATTGTCCCCCATAGGCTGCCTCTCTCAGGGCCGGGAGCACCAGGACGGGGAAGAGTTCGAGGGACCTGCAGGCAGCTGTGAGCAGTGTCGCTGTCAGGTATGGAGGGGAGGGGGAGGCGAGGGCTGGCCCCATTGTCTCTGGGCCCAGGGCTAGGTGGCAAGCCACTGACCTGCATCTGCCTCTCCTGCAGGCCGGCCAGGTCAGCTGTGTGCGGCTGCGGTGCCCACCCCTGCCCTGCCCGCTGCAGGTCACAGAGCAGGGGAACTGCTGCCCTCGCTGCAGAGGTACACCCCGCCCCCCCGTGTGGCCCCTCCCTTCAGACCCAGGGCCCCATGTCCCACTCGGATTTTGCCGACCTTCCTGACCCCTGCCTGCCTTCAGCTTCTCCTACTTCTCCCGGCCCCGCCTGCCCTGCCCAGCCCCCTCCCATGTGCTGGTTAGAGTCCCTTCAAAGCTGCCCCTCTTCCTCACCACACCCCATCCATAACGATAATACTTAACATTCAGTGAGTACAGAGCATGCCAGGGCCCCAAGCTAAGCACTTTACATGTATCATCTCATGTAATCAGCACAACAATCTCATCAGATAAGTACTGCTATCACTTCCATTTTGCAGATGAGAACACAGAGATGCAGGGAGGGAAGGTAACTTGCCTATGGTCACTCAGCTAGAAGGCGGCAGAGTCAAGAAGGGATGCAGGCCATCTGGCTCCAGAACATGAGCCTTTCTCAGCCGCCTGCTGCCCCTCACCCCGCACACCGCCCCCACATGGTGTCACTTCCACAAAACCATCTCAGCGTCTCACTTGCCCTGGGAGGGGAGCAGGACAGATGAAATCCTGATTTAACAGCTGAGGAGACTGAGGCTTGGCAACGTTGAGTTACTTTGGGCAGGCGGTTAGTGATGGAGCCATTCATTCGTTCCACGGGCATTTATTCCACGCCTGCTGCAGGCCAGGTCTTGTGTCCGGCGCTGGGCAGCATGGACAGTGCCTGCTGCCGGGGCTTGGTCTAGCAGGCAGGCAGGCATGGAACGGGATTAGAACCTAGCTGTTCCGACCCCAACCAGTGTCTTTCCCCTCCACAGACAGTTCCGCCCTGCCGCCTTCCTGCCACATCCCACAGACCCCCCTCCTGGCGCCCACCCAGGGTGGGGGGTCAAGGGCAGATGTCCAATCTCAGGCTCCAGGCTCACCCCTGCCCGCCTTGGCCCACAGGCTGTCTGGCTCATGGCGACGAGCACCCTGAAGGCAGTAGCTGGGTGCCCCCCGACAGCCCCTGCTCCTCCTGCGTATGTCACCAGGGCGTTGTCACCTGTGCCCGCGTCCAGTGTGTCAGCTTCTGTGCCCAGCCCCATCAGGGGCCTGGTGACTGCTGCCCTCGATGCTCTGGTACTGGAAGCCTGGGGCGGGCAGGGCACACCCAGGTCCACACGTCCCTGCCTTAGAGCTGGACTGGGTGGCAGAGTCCAGGAGAAGTGGCCTCCATTCTTGTACATACCCCAGGGTAGGGGGAGGCTGGGGCGGAGGGCCCCACCCAGGCATTGTGCCAGCCTGATGGCCACTGGTCCTGTTCTGCTCTCTCCCCACCCCTGAGACTGCGAGCACGAGGGGCGGAAGTATGAGCCCGGGGAGAGCTTCCAGCCTGGGGCGGACCCCTGTGAAGTGTGCATCTGTGAGGTAGGGGGAGCGCCCAGCTGGGGGCTGGGCCATGGGGAGGGGGCAGGCAGCGCGGGGTGAGGCCCAGCCACGCTGGCACTGCGTGGAGCGGGCACTTGGGGCTCAGAGACAGCAGGGCCAGGAGGTCTGGGTTTAGATGTGGAGCAGGGGTTCAGAGTGCGAGGGCACAGGTGACAGCCCCTCCTGGCCCGAGCATGGGGTGGTGTAGGTGGGGGTCACGTTGTGGAGATTCTACTTGGAAGGTAAGGGTGAGCCACGGAAGGGTTTTGAGCAGGTGAATGACGCCATGGGTCAGGGTAGTCAGCGGGATGTGGCAGGATGGCCTGACAGTGCAGGAGGGTCAAAGGGCACATGAGGGTTTAGGCCCCAGTGAGTGGGAAAAGAGGGGGACATCGTCTCTGGGGATTAAGTCACCGGGTGAGGAGCAAGTCTAGGCGACACTGAGGCGCATCCTGGGAGGGTGCAATAGGCCGCTGGAGGGACCTGAGTCCCAGGGAAGGGAAGGGGCAGCTCTTGGTGTTCATGGGTTCATGGCTCGAGACCCACCCCTGCTCACTCATTCTTGTAGCCGCAGCCTGAGGGGCCGCCCAGCCTTCGCTGTCACCGGCGTCAGTGTCCCAGCCTGGTGGGCTGCCCCCCAAGCCAGCTCGTGCCCCCTGGCCCCCAGCACTGCTGCCCCACGTGTGCTCGTGAGTCCAGGGGTGTGGGGATAGATATGTGGGGGGGCTGCCACCCCCAGCCGGCTCTCCTCCCCAGCCCCAGCCCTTTCCTGACTCCAGCGGCTTGTTCTGGAAGCCCATCCCTCGCGGGTGAGGCCTGCACAGTCCCGAGGGAAGCTGGGGACACAGGCAGGGACCCCTTGCCTCCCCGAAGTGGGTGCAGTTTGTGGAGCATCTTGCCCAGCAGGTGGCGCTGCAGGGTGGCAGTTGTGCTGAGATGTCAGGACCAGATGGCCGGGAGTGGCCCTGCCGCAAGGGCGGGGAAGCTATTCTTGATATTTTAGAACACAGATTTAAGATTGGGGTGGGGGGGGAGGGAGTAAAGAAACAGCTATTTTTTTTAGTACAAATATGGAAAGACAGCCAATTTCTGTTTCCTGTATTTAATACTTGTGGCTTACCCAACACGTCATTTCACATTTGCTGTGGAGGCAATTGTTTCAGCTTCTAGTCGTACACCAGCATCGAAATAATCACCTAACTTTGCATTGCAGGCTAATGTTGTTCTCACATATAAAAAACATTCTTTGTATGATGATAACCGCACTCTCATCCTCCTTTTTTTCAAATTTTTATTGTAGTAAAATACACGTAAAAATTTACTATTTTAGCCATTTTTAAGTGTCCAGCTCGGTGGTGTTAAATATATTCGTAATGCGGTGCAGCCATTGCCACCATCCCTGGGAGAGCTGCTGTGATCAACATTTGCTAGAATGTGCTTCGGGGAAGGGAAGAAGACTTTAACATTTATTAAGCACCTAATACATGCCACACACTGTGCTTGGTGTTCTCAATAAACAGAATCTCATTTAATTTTCACAGTTACCCAGTGAGGTAAGTGTTATTCCATTTTTACAGGTGAAGATATGGAGGCTCAGAGAGGTGGATTAATCTGCCCAAATTGGCCCAGGCACTGAGTGCTGGAGCCAGGATTAGAACCTGGGACACCTGGCTCTTCCTGCTGTTTTACCAGACTCTATTGCGGGAAGTGGGAGGGAGAGCAGGCCAGGCCACCTGGCCGTTCTTAGTGACCTCAGGCCGAGGAAGCCACACTTTGTCGTTTCCAGGCCCCCCCCCCCCAGTAGCTTAGCAAAGCTTCTTTTTAAAAGTCTAAACTTCTGTTTGCTGAACTGGAGGGAAAGAGGACCTCTCCTCCCTAAGGTCAAGGTGCTGGGAATATGGATGTGCCCTGGGCCCAAGAAGTCTGAGGGCACAGGGGGTGGGGATAGCTGCGATTCCAACCCCTGCCCCCTCTTTCTGTCCCCGCTCTGGGTTCTTGTCTTCACAGAGGCTCTGAGAAACTGCTCAGAGGGCCCACTGGGGTCTGAGCTGGTCCCGCCAGACCCCTGCTACACGTGCCAGTGCCAGGTGAGCCCTCCTGCCTTGGGGACTCTCAGGGCTCCCTCTTCCTCCTCTTTGGGCTCTGGCTGCTGCTGATCTCTTGCAGCAGCTCCAGGGCTCTCCACTCACCCCGACATTTACCCACTTGTCCTGACTGTCGCATCCCACCTGGGCCCTACTTGCAGCCATGCCCTGCTCCCTCAACCACCTCCTGGAGAGCTGCTATTCTCCACTTACTGTGTTCACAGGACCTGACATGGCTCTGCATTCAGCGGCCCTGTCCTGAGCTCAGCTGTCCCCTGCAGGAGCGCCACACCCCCCCTGGGAGCTGCTGCCCCATGTGCCGGGGTAAGTGCTCAGGAGGGAGACCGGAGGGGGAGGCATTCGTGGGCCACGTGGGCGTCCCAGGTCGGCACTCAGAATGCAGGTTTCATTCTGTGGTAGGAATGGAGGGCTGTTCTTCAGGGCGGAGAAGAGACCCAAGAGGCAGAGGGAGGCAGGGATGAAGCCTGGATTCTCAAGGCCTGGCTTGACGCTTGTCAAGGGTATCAGGACCCCAGGTATACTAGTAGGTCAGCTGGCCCAGAGGGGGGGTCCCACGCTCTGGCTCTTCAGGTTTCTAGGACCCTGCAGACACCCCAAGCACTGGTGCAAGGCCCTCTGGATGCTGGGAGAAGAAGCCAGCACCATCAGGGTGCCAGGGGAATGGGGCAGGTGCTTCCCTACTGTGAAGCTCAGGGTGAGCTCCAGGGAGGGAGGGTGCAGCTGGAAGGATAGTGCCTGCCCATCCCATTTCGCCCTCCTTAGAATGCGTGGTGGAGGCTAATGGCCAGAGAGTGGCAGATGGTGAGAGCTGGCAGGGCCCTAGCAACACCTGCATTGCTTGCACCTGCTGTGTGAGCTGGAGGTGGGGGTGGGAGGGTGGAGGACTTCATAAAACGGCAAAGGGAGGAGCGTCCAACACTCCACCAGCAAATATGGGATCTTTGAGGGGCAGAGGCATGCCGGTGTGGCGCAGGAGCTGCGGGCTGGGTTTCACTCCCCGCCTGAACCGTTAAGTGGGTATTCTTGTGGGACTGGGGCGGGCAGAAGGGGCTGCTGCCTCAGACCACGCCCAGAAGGCCCCCAGGAGTGTGAGGCCAGGGACCTCAGGAAATCCCAGAGCAATGATGTCTGTCCTCAGCGGGACCACGTGGAGTGCCACCTGGAGGAGTGCCGGGCCCTCTCCTGCCCCCAGGGCTGGGCGAAGGGGCCCCAGGCTGGCAGCTGCTGTGAGCGATGCCAAGGTTAGGGCCAGGACCATGGGGGAGGGGTAAGCCAGACGTGGAGTGTGGTAGGGGGCAACTGACCCTCCCTGTCTCCTGTCCCCTCAGCCCCCACCCAGTCGTGCGTGCATCAGGGCCGAGAGGTGGCCTCTGGGGAGCGCTGGGCGGTGGACGCCTGCAGCAGCTGTTCCTGCGTGGCCGGCACTGTGCGCTGCCAAAGCCAGCGCTGCCGGCTGCTCTCGTGTGGCCCCGTGAGTGCCGTGGTCTAAGGTGTGGGGGCGGGGTGGAGGACACGTGGCACTGCCGTCCCGCGGGACCAGGCGTGGGAGAGGGAGGCTGGGCTCCGTAGCGACCCGTGAGCGATCGGGGCCGGAGCTGGTGCTGTTCCCGGCGCGACCACCAGGTGGTGCCCTGACCCCGCTCGCAGGGAGCCTGGGAGCCGGAGTCCCAGACCCCTGAAGACACCTGGGCGATGCTCAGTCGTCCGGGAGGGTCTGCGAAGGGCCTGGCAGGGAGAGCGGTGTGTCTCACGGTGTCTGGGGCTGAGGCCAGGACGAGGCCCCTGCCCTGAGTCCCGGCAGCTGCTGCCCCCGCTGTCTGCCCCGGCCGGCTTCCTGCATGGCCTTCGGAGACCCGCATTACCGCACCTTCGACGGCCGCCTGGTGCACTTCCAGGGCAGCTGCAGCTACGTGCTGGCCAAGGACTGCCAAGGCGGGGACTTCAGGTGCACACCCCATCCCCTCCTCCCTAACCCCTACACCCGGCCCAGCTCACCACTGGCACCTGGGCCTTTCCTGCACGCAGCGTGCATGTGACCAACGATGACCGAGGCCGGATCAGTGTGGCCTGGACCCAGGAGGTGGCGGTGCTGCTGGGAGACGTGGTGGTGCGGCTGTTGCAGGGCAAGGCGGTCACGGTGAGCAGTGCCGGGGAAAGGTCGGTCCTGCACTGTCGACGCGTCCACCCCAACGTTGCCCCTCCTCCCGCCTCCCTTTTCCTTCCAGGTGGATGGGCTCCGGGTGGCCTTGCCCTTCCTGCAGGAGCCGCTGCTGTACGTGGAGCTGCGGGGACGCACCGTGATCCTGCATGCCCAGCCCGGGCTCCAGGTGCAGCTGGGGGCCTGGAAACCTCAGTCCTGTTTAGGCTTGTGTATCTAAACAGAGGGAGTGGGGGTGCCAGCTACCTCCCAGGCCAAAAGAAGGCACGGAGGGGAGGGAGTGCTGCTGGATTCCCAAGACGGGGAGCAGAGACCTGGGGGGCAGCCAGAGGAGTTCTGAGCCTGGTTTCTAATCCTGGCTCAGCCACCCACACACTGGGGTTCTTAGGCAGGTCCCAACCTTCTCTGGGCCTCAGTTTTCTCATCAGTTAAATGGGGGAGGGGTTAGTGGGGGTGGGGAGGATGTCAATTAAGGTCTCCTAGGTGGTGTCTGAGGTTCCTTCCAACTCTCATGGGGAAGAGTAATTTGCCTTCCTGCCCCGAGCAAGAACGAAATTGTAAATTCATAAAATAAGGCTTGTCCACACTTCTAATCCAGACTTTCATTGTGCTTTGTCCTGCGTAAGGCCTGAATGCCCAAGAGAAAGGGAATCCCTAGAGTTTGCATTTCACCCGGGGCCCAGTTCAGGGACACCGATAGGAGAATGTGCCCTCGCGCAGGAGCTGTGGGAGCTCCTCCTGTCATCTGTCTTTGTCCAGGGCTGGCACGGCATGTGCCCCTTGGCCAGGACAGGGTGCCTTCCAAGGGGAGCCTCCCTCGTTCATCCCCCTCCCCTATAGCGCAGAGCGTGCTGACACAGTGCCTGGGGCCGTGATGGCCCCTGGGCTTTTGGGGTCCCTATCCTTGCCCATGCCCCAGTCCCAGGCCTCTCTGCACAGGTGCTGTGGGATGGGCAGTCCCAGGTGGAGGTGAGCGTGCCCGGCTCCTACCGGGGCCAGACGTGTGGGCTCTGTGGGAACTTCAATGGCTTTGCCCAGGATGATTTGCAGGGCCCTGAGGGGCTGCTCCTGCCCACGGAGGCTGCGTTTGGGAACAGCTGGCAGGTGAGTGGCACAGGAACCAGGGCTAGGGGGTGGGAGGCATAGCTGAGCATGGGTCTCAGAGCAGCCCCTGGTCTGGAAAGGGAGTTGAGGAGTCACACAAGATGGCTTTTGGGCTTTCAGGGAGGTTTGAGGGCTTCTTACCTGTCATGGTGCTGAAGGAGGCTGTTGAAAGAGGCCTCATCACCTGAAACCCCAAGCCCTGCTTAGCCACTCACTGGCTGTGTGACCTTGGTCAAGTCACTTACCTACTCTGGGCCTTAATCTGTCCATCTGTAAACTAGTAACAAGGAGAAAGCAGGTGATGCTTCCTTTGCTGTTCTTGTAGGCAGATTTTTGAGACTAAAAGAAACTATTGGGTGGGAAGTGCTTTGAAGAACATAGCACACAAAGGTCAGCTGCCAGAGGTGCTGTCACATCAGGGGCACTCTCCACCCTAGGTCCCAGAGGGGCCAGGCCCTAGCCGGCCCTGTTCCGCGGGCCAAGAGGTGGATCCATGCCGGACAGCAGGTTACCGTGCCAGGCGTGAGGCCAATGCCCGGTGTGGGGTGCTGAAGTCCTCCCCATTCAGTCGCTGCCACGCTGTGGTGCCAGCAGAGCCCTTCTTTGCCGCCTGTGTGTATGACCTATGTGCCTGTGGCCCTGGCTCCTCAGCCGATGCCTGCCTCTGTGATGCCCTGGAAGCCTATGCCAGTCACTGTCGCCAGGCAGGAGTGACGCCTGCCTGGCGGGGGCCCACGCTCTGTGGTGAGGGGTGATGCCTGGTGCAGGTTGGGGCAGGGGGCTGCACAGACAGGAAGGGCAGCCCAGGGGGCTCAGGTCTGGACAGGGTGGGCACAGGGAGTACCCCAAGGGGTGAGCACAGCAACTGGAGCAGTGTCCAGGTGCCCCAGTGACTCTGCCTTCCACTCTGCCTGCAGCGGTGGGCTGTCCCCTGGATCGTGGCTTTGTGTTTGATGAGTGTGGCCCGCCCTGTCCCCGCACCTGCTTCAACCTGCACGTCCCCCTGGGGGAGCTGGCTGCCCACTGTGTGAGGCCCTGCGTTCCCGGCTGCCAGTGCCCCGCAGGCCTGGTGGAGCATGAGGCCCACTGTATCCCACCCGAGGCCTGCCCTCCAGTCCTGATCACTGGGGACCAGCCACTCAGCGCTCTGCCCAGCCCCAGCCGGGAACCATAGGGGACACCCTGAGCCAAGACGACACCTGAACAGGACTCATCAGGCCAGAAGTCTCCCCTTGGCGAGCAGCTGCTACCCTGGTCAGGGCTGCGAAGAGAGTGCCCCATTGGGCACTGGGTGCCTGGGCCCTTCAAACACCCCAGCTGTGTCGAGCCACAAGCAGTAAACTCTGGGCCTGTGGAAGGCTTCCTTGTGTGTATGTGTTTCCTCCTGGTGCTGGGATGGAGGCTGGGCTGCTTGGATCCTGGGGTCCAGTGGTCAGTGTCCTCAGAATCAGAGGACCTTGCTCACTCCTTTGCCTGCATGCCTGGGCTGCCGCAACTGGCTGCTCCCTGGGAAACCCTGTGTGGGAAATCCTGCGACAGGCAGAAGGACCCAGGTGTCCTGGTCCCAGTCCTGTGTTCACTCTGTGTAGCAGGCATGGCCATGGCCCTCACGTGGGAGCCCCCATGGATCCATGTGGGATCCCTCAGGGGCTGAGGAGCGGTGGAGAGGGGCTCAATCTGCACGTGGCCTCCCTTTTCCTCTTGGTTTGGTGGCACTGAGTGCTTGGGCGCCTCCTGGGCCACTCTAAGAGCTGGTGATGCAGGGACTCCTGCCTAGGGGCGGGGGCAGGAGAGACAATAGACCATGAGGCAATGTGGACATGTGCATGTGCGCATAGACACACACACCCTCAGAACCCCAGACAGACACATGCGACACATGTGCAAACCCGCCTGTGCTCACAGCAGCACCCCCCGGTGGGCGTGTGGGCCGTCGACACTCGTGCAGTTTGCGAAGACTTCATCGTAGGGGAGAAAACATGGTGGTTTTAAAAAAAAACTTATAAAGAAAAAGAATTTATTTCTTACAGTCATGAAGCTGAAAAATCCAAGGTCAAGGGGCATCTGGTGAGACCCTCCTTGCTGGCGGCAGTCCTAGGTGGCACAGGGTATCGCATGGTGAGGGGACTGAGTGTGCCCGAGAACACGAGTTTTGAGATAGAAAAAGTGCAGAATTTGAGTTCTCTTTGCCACGTACTAGCTGTGTGATCTCAGAGTTTTAGGGACTTGGTGTTTTAGGGCTTTTAGGGATCAGGGGACTCCATTCTCATTGCTGGGACTCCGATATTCCAACAGGGAGTGAAGGGCTCTGTGACCCGGAGAGGACGCCACGGAGCATCGGTCACCGGCCCAGCATGCTCAGGCGTCTTTCGTGCAGGCTGTTCTCTCTTGGGGCCCTGAGAGGAGAGTTTGCTCCATTCTGTCACGGAGCAGGGACAGAGCAGGCGAATCTGCTCATGACGGTGCTGGGTGTAAAGGTGGCAGGCCATCTGCTGCACTCGGTGCTGCCCTGGGGCTGAGGCCAGGACGAGGCCCCTGCCTTGAGTCCCGGCAGCTGCTGCCCTGCTGTCTGCCCTGGCCGGCTTCCTGCATGGCCTTCGGAGACCCGCATTACCGCACTTTTGACGGCCGCCTGTCGAAGGCGTTTATGCAAACTTCTCTCGTGTGTAACATGCAGATGATAGTAACACGTGTGTCGCATGTTTGGAGGAATAAACAGTGACCCACGGACAGAGTCAGGAGGTGGACGGCGCGGACAGCACTGGGCGGTACTCGGAGGGCCTGGCCTCTCGCTGCTCACACGAGCCTCTTGGAGATGCATGGGCTCTGCCCCGTGTGCTCCCGGAGGGTACCACGTCCCCCCATCTCCCACTGCGGGAACCATTGCCACATGTTAGGGCAGGTAACTGAGTCAGTCTCCTCTAGTGTAAAATGGGGATGACCATGGCACCTGCTTCAGAGTCGCTGCGAGGAAGGATGAATGTACGAAGTGTCTTGGCACTTACTGAGCTGTTGGTAGCAGCTGCGGTTGCGGCCCTCACTGGGCGTGTTACGTGTCCGCACGATGCAGCTGCAAAGTTCGCATGCATGTGTCCGCACGCACGGCGTATGTCAGACATTACTCAGTGGGGATTGCAGACAGGCACACCCACACGCCCCTCTCTTGGGGGTCACATGCCTCACTCCACACTGCCGCCCCATGGCCAAGAAACCGGTGTCAGAGTCAGGCCAGAGTCAGGCTTGGCTGCAGCCCAGGCCCAGGCTCAGGTGTCGGGTGCTGCATTAGTGAGATCAGAGCCTTCAACCCTCCTCCACCTGGTCCTGGGCTCTGTGTCCTCCACCTCCCTCCAGGCTCCATGGCGCAGGCAGCCATGCCTGGGGGCTTGGGGCTCCCTTGCAACCCCAGGCAGGCCTTGGCTCTCTTCCAGCACCTCTTCCAGCGCCCTGCAGGCCTGGGCCAGCTCTGGGCTGCACTTTGGAAGGTGAGGGAGGGGCACTGCCTTGGAAGGGGAGGGGACAGGCAGGCGGGGGCCTGACTCCACCTCGGCCCCCAGGTGCAAGAGGCCGGGGGCTGCCCCTCGGGGCTGGAGCTGCCCACCGTGCTGCTGGAGATGGAGCGGAGCCAGCAGGCACAGGAGCAGGTAGGGATGGCCAGGGGATGCGGCAGAGGCCAGGGTGGGCCCCCCCTCATGCCCTGACACCCCATCTTCCTGCAGCTCCTGTGGGACTTGGAGCTGCTGAGGGGGGCTGGGCTGCACCTCTTCTGGCCCCCATCCCGGGCCCAGTTCTGCAGTCTGCGGGGCCAGGCCCGGCGTGCCCGTGCGTGGAGTAGCAGGGGTGGGGACTCAGAGCAGCTGGTGAGTGGGTGAGCGGGGGCACAGCAGGCGGGGGTAGGCAGAGGGTACCGGGACACTGGGGCCCTGCAGGGGTGAGGGCAGGTGGGAGGAGCGAGAAGCAGGGGCCTTGGAGATGGACAGGTCAACGCCTTGCTCTGATGCTCCCTGTGGACTGCGAGCCCCCCTTTCCTCAGCTATAAATTGCGGACGGTAATAGATCTTTCCCCAAGGACTGCTGGGAGGACCAGTGAACTCGTCCCAGTAAAGGGCTGGACACGGTGCAAGCCCGTTCTGGGCAGGCTGTTCTCATCATTTCACAGTTAACAACTGTCTTGGTCAAATCAACTGTGTGGTGACACCTGGAAGCCTTTCGGGGTGGCTGCAGCATGGGAGGAGAGAGGCCTGGCAGGGGCTGAGAGGGCGAGGCACTGATGCCCGGGGAGGGAGATGCTGTGTGGTGACTGGGCCCCGAGCAGAGCTGGGACCTGGGAATGCATGTCCCGGCTCAGCCCCAACTGCCGGAGTCACTTTGGGGAGGTTAGTAGCCCTCTCTGGGCCAAGGCATCCCCAGCTGTAGCAGGAGGGGGCGTTCATGGCGACCACGAAGGCAGGGACCAGCCAACATCATTGGGCAGAACTGCCATCTTACCTGAGGGCTCCACTGGGCAGGTGGGAGCTGTTTCCAAGCTTCTTCACGTGGAGGGAAGGGGGTCACACGAGGGCATGAATACCAGGAGGCATGGCTGACCGGGGGCCTTCTTAGAGGCTGCGACCACACTGGGCAATGGTGCCCTGTGGACTCGGGCACCCCTAACCCTTCCAGAGTTCCAGGCTGCACCCTCCACCCCAGGCTGAGGATTCCCTGAGCCAGAACCATGAGCTCCCAGAGGGGTGAGTCTTTCTCCCAGGGAGTCCTGCCATTCCTCTGTGTGGCCAAAGTGGCCAAGAGCTCCTTTCCCCATCGCCTCCTGCAGTCCTGCCTGGTGCCCCCTCCTCTTGCCTCTGGCTCCTCCTAGGCTGTCACTCAGTTGTACCCACGGTTGCCCCAGAACCCTGGGAAAGGGAGACCCCTAAATTCTACCTCCTGGGATCTGGTGATGGGAGCAGGTTCTGGGGGTGGCCACCGGGGACTCAGAGTTTGGGCACTGGGGGAGTGCTAGGGAGACTGGCAGGCGGGTGCCCTCCCCCCTCCAGAGCACTGGGCCGCTAGACGTGCAGCTGAGGCAGCCTTTGAACTCCTGCAGGGGGCAGGTGGTGGACCCATCGTCAGCCCCAGATCTGGGTGAAGCCAAGAGTGATGTGCACCGAAGCGGGGAGAGCCCTGGCAGGGCTGCAGAGCCCACACCTGGTATGTTGGTTGATGGGACAGGACGGGATGGGATGGGCAGCCGGGAGAGCAGGGGGCCCCTGGCACTGGGGCAGCCAGACCACACTGGCATGAGGCAGGAAGTCCTCACCTGAAGTCCAAGGACTTCAGACCTTCTTAACTCATTCTTCATCTCACACTTTTTTATTGAGCTCCAGGGGCACCTGGAGATGGCAAGCAGGTTGTATTTTGTGTTTCAATTCCGCCTAGTTGGTCCCAGCTGTCTCACGTACTATGTCCAGCAGGATTCTGACACTCAACTGGGGCTCAGGGGAGAGACTCCAGGAATGACCATCACTGGCAACTCCAGGCCACCGATTACCACCCTTGAGCCAGGCTCAAGGGGGATACACCAAGGGCAAGAGAGACTCAGTCCCTGCCTTCAGGTCACAGCCTGGTGAGAGAACATGACCATCGACAGGCAATTTGAATTCAGTGGGATGGATGCTGTGAGCCTTGGGCCTGTTCACTTAAATGAAACAGACTCTCAAATTATTTGTTAAATAATAGATCTTGCAAAGCCAGAGGCTTTTAATTGTTCCCTCATGTACATGAGAGAAAAGTGCCGATGATTAATTTCTGATTGACAGAGAAATTTTTACTAGTATTTTATCTCTTGAGAAGACAGAGCTATCAATTATGACATTATTGCCAGAGAAATACATTCTCTAGTAAGACAACAGATCAGAATTACAGAGGGAGGGGGTTGGAGGCTGTTTTCACAGTTCATGGCAATCACTTCTAAAGGCCTGGGAGTCCTAGGAGACTCCTTTGTTCAAAAAACTCTTCGAAAAACAGATTTATGTTCAGAGAGCGTACCCATTTGGTCACCGTTATGAATATTCACACGTCTGTATATTGCACAAAAGAACGAGATGCAATATTCTTGTGAAAGTTCTCAATTTAAGACCTTATGAAATCAGTTTCTTTTTAGTTTTATGGATGCAGAACAACTGTCCTTCCTCCACAGCT